ATGTTATCAACTTCAAGAGGATGTTCAATCTAATATTCATCAGACGAAATTAGACAGGGTGAGTCATGAATAATCAGCCACAGCTAATGGTCAAGGTGAGTTGACATTTAAAAATAAAATTAGTTTCAGAAGTCTTCCTTTATCCGTCATAAAGCTATGGTTGGTTAAGCATGACTCACCATGTATGCATCAAAAGACAGTGACATGAACAATGATATATGTACAGCAAGTGGTCAAAAATGAATATTCTTCAATGTGCTGCCTTCTCATTCAAAATGTTCTCCAATGATGCAATAATAATACATATCAGCATATTGGTTTTTTTGAATCCTCATTTTTAGTTCGCAATGTTTTGACGTTGACAATGTCATAATGTATGTTATATCATAGATCCAATTTGTATTTAGATCTATGGTTATATTATCTTTCTTATACGTGAACAAACGAAAGAGTCTAAAGGTGGATTCATGCAACATCAACTAAATAATGATGAATTTGAGATTTTAACGAATTTTAAATTGAAAATATATGGGTGTTCATGCAATAATCTTTCATCAGCTGTTTAATCTTCTTCAAGCGCGGATAGCTATTATTTGACGCATGCGCTGTCGTGAATTATGGAAGATTTTTTAATGTTAGTCAAAAAACAGGGGAGGCTGCCAGAGAGTTGTACTATGGTCCGCTAAATAACATGGCGTCTGCCCACTGTGTTCATTGGCGTACTAATTCAGGCTCTCAAGGATCCTTTCATATTTTTCTTTAATAATTCAACGTTTTTCTGCGAGCAAATGGGCATGATAATAATGTATCACATGTAGATTCATTGTGGCCAATGAGACTGTGATGCTTCAGAATGCTTCGCAAACTTTATGCTCTCGTAAAATGTTATATTGTATGTGTTCAATGAAAGTCTTCTTTCTTCAAGTTAAAAAATACAAGATTAAGTTCGAGTATAAATACGATCATCATACTGAACTTAGCTAGTGAACCGATTTGTTTTTTTTTGTATTCTCAATCTCCACGCACTTATGCTTTCAATTTTATTATTTTTCGAAATATTTATGAATGTTTTTAAGGTCTCAGAATCACAAATTAAATTTGTATTGAATTTGTATATCGCTAATTCGAAGTTGAAAACAAACTTTCCAGTACCTATAAGAATATTGTTGGATGATGCCAGAAGTAGAAACTTGTGCGAGGTTAGGAAGGAAAATGAAGTCACAGTCTATCTAACACAGTCTCATTCAAACTGTGAAAATTTGCCACTCATATCTACTGAGGTCACTACTCAGTGAGTGAAATATAGTTGCCAGATTTCAAATTACATCTGGAAATAACAGAAATCGTCTGGCTATAAACATTCATAAATCATGATTTATTATTTCTCTCCTACTCTGTGGAGGGATATCTCGTTGCATTATTCTCAACTGGATAATATTTCCTTTATACAGGATTTGTGTATAAGTGTATAAGACAAAAGCTATGTTGATTCACGCACCAGAGGAGAGTCACTGTGAAACGTGTGACTAATTCGATGTACATCTTGTATAGACAACGTAGAGCGCAGTTGCCGAGTTACCAACGGATAATTACCGAATGTTTGTTCACATAGCACGTGGTTATAGTAAGGTATTCATAAAATGCAGTGATATATTGCCATGCATGATGCATACCGTTCAATTGTTAACTACTGATTATTATATTCGCGATAGAAAATAAGCGCACGCCACCTATCGGAGTTCTTGAAAGTTGTCAAAGTGGCCTATTTACTTTGTTTTTATTGGTTCACATTTGTTTTTTGTTTGTGCTCAAATCATCAAAACAAACCGCTCGAAGTGTCTGCCGCCAGGTGGAGCGACGTGTTATTTTCTATAGCGAATGCTCGAGATATTCCGATCAATAATATTCGCGTTCGACAAATTCGAATCAGCTCAACTATAATTCCGACTTTTGACGAGGTTGAAATAGTAATATGGTCTGTTCGAATCAGGCCATGATTTTTGGGAACTTCGAACAATTTGCAACAAAAAAACAGATTTGAATGGAATGGAAAATTCAATAATTTTCAGTAGGCTATCATCTTGTGCATAATACAAAATACAATTTTTATTTGTATATTTCATCATATTATAGTATTGAATGATCATTTCCGTGATTTAAATGGTGGGCAACGATCCCTGACGAGCCACTAATGCAACAACGTATATCACATGCAACTTTTCCTAATAATTAACGATCACTCTGTCGCAGAGGAAACAACAAACTCATCACTTCAATCTATTTATTTGTTCACAGCGCCATTTTACATTTATGATGTTACTATAACGTTCGCGTAATTGGAATTTTATTACATTGTTTTCCGAAATGTTTCATTAATCCATACCTGAACCACAGCCTGAACCTTGATTGTCTATCGTAAATAATTTATAAACGTACATCAAATAATTTCGTTTTCCGTTATACACAGGGTGCTCGATTCCAGACTGATTTCGCCGATCACCTCTAGTTGTACTCAGTATAACCACTGGAAAGTTGAGTACCTGAAAAAAAAAAATACGTTGAAAATATGATGCGGTGTGATTGACTATGTATTTGAGTATTTCTTATTTCTTTTCCTAGATGTCTCTAAAACAAGTGGAAATAATCAAAACTCCCGAACAAAATTGTGAATGAGATATTGTCTGATTTGGAACTGGAACTATGACCTTTGAACTTTATTTTCCCCATCTCGATCTCACGTACCATGGAAAGGGCTTGTAAATAAAGTGTTGGAAGTAGGGTATAGTTTCATTTGAAATGTTGATGTTGGGGTTGGTATGGTTGGATAGTTAATTGAAAGATAGGGGGTGTCACATAAAAAATAAATCTATCAACACGTGCGTTTGGAAATGAAAATCTATTGGTTCCAGGAGTTTTCACTGAAGTCGTTGATTTACGAGATGATGAATTGTTGCTTTTTATTTGCATCATACTGTACGAGTTGTTGTTACTTCTCTTCTGTTTTTTACATACTTATTCCATCAAGCTAACTCTTGATGGTATTTTCGATAATTTTCTGTTTTCAGATCAAAAAAAGGAAACCTGGGTTGATTTATATGATTGTATTTGTATTGTATTTGAAATCAAAAAGGATGAATTTTAAATGATAGAATAAAACAACACTCTTTCACAACACCTGTATAATTCGAAACTATGATATGATTTCCTCTAGATTTTTGAGGTTTTCGCTCTACATCTCCATTATTGCAATATACCTCTGGTATCTAAATCAAATCAGATGATTTTCCCAAAAATCCAACGGCGCTGAAAATTTTACCAATTGAAACCTAAGAGAAAGCCTAAAAGAAAAATGCCATCGATATTGCCAGTGACACCTTGCTTGAAAAAAGTTTGAAGAAGAATAATATAGGTATCATCTCCGTTCACAGACTGCAAGCGGATTCTTAGATTTCTCTTTTTTGGTTGTAACTTCCTCTTCCTATGATTTTAATATCGTTTCACTTCGGCATATGTTGTCCAGTAAGAGTATGTTCGGAAAATTTTGATCTGTCTTTTCTTAATGCTTTTTCGTCCATACTGAGAGAGTTCCCTTCGTTTAACCTGTATAATCTTCCAAAAACACAAGATATACTGTATATATTTTTTTTGATGATTTTACATTTTTGGATTTGTTTGAGTGAGAATAGATCTAGTTGTATTTTCAGTTTCACAGTTCCCAAAATTATCACCAACACGTTTCGTTTCAAAGAGGTCTCTTGGTTTCACCTGTATAAAACTTTCCAAAAACACAAGGTATACTGTAAATACAATTTTTTGACGATTGTTCTTCATTTTTCGGCTTTGTTTGAGAGAATTGATCACATTGTATTTTCAGTTTTGAACACAGTTTTCACTTGAAATTTATCAGTAAGGACAAAGGAACATAAGTACAATATTAAGAAAAGACACATCGATAAATCGAAATTAGCTGAACATATCCTAACTGAAGACGGACAACAAATGGCAGAGTGGAATACTATTAAAATCATTGGAAAAGAAGATAACAACTAAAAGAGAAGAATCAAGGAATATGCTTGCATTTTTCTGAACGAAGACAATAGCATTGCTTCCTGTTCAGTTGATATAGATTGAACATAGTATTCACTACTGAAGTCTGAAAATGAAAATGGTAAATTTTAGATCAATTGATGAACACATCCTGTAACTCATTTGATTGCCAACGTCACCGATTGTCACTGAGAACTGGAAAGTGTCAAGATAAATTCGAATTTGCTTTTCAAATATGCATTTTTTATGTTAAAAACGGGAGCATATTCGTTCCCGAAACGTATAATGCTAAGTGAAAATTTGATATTTTTTCTATATACCTTTATTACTCTTCTCCAAACCTTTTTCGATACAAATTGTCACTGACAAGCTAGTGAATTTTTCATTTAGGCTCTCTGATAGGAAACTTTTTTGAACGCAGTGACATTTTGGGGCAAATCATCTGATTACTACACGAATATTGAAATAATATTCATATTTTTATTTCATAGAAACGAGGAGAGAAAATCCCAAAAAATCTGGAAAATAATGAATGTGCCACCTCCTCGATTAACCTTCAGACAGTATTGAACGTTTCGTTTGCTCAGATAAGCCGGGAATGTATAGTAATATTGTTGTTATTGGTGGTTGTTTTTCTGTTGGCTTTGACAAGATATATCTGTTCTGTTTGAAATTAGAGGAAGTTTATGAGATTCGATATCAACCGAGATTCCTGAAATATTTTGTAGTTTCCACATTTTTCGAGGGTATCCCTGAAATTGCGGAAATTATTTACCAGTTGCTTCAACGACTAATATAATATTATGGGATGTTCAAATACACACATTGCCTTTCTTGAGCGCACATCTCTCATACCTAGTGTTATAACTGATGTATGTCAGTTGCTGAACATAATCTATTGATAGGTGATCAGGGTACCTACTGAATTAATTACATTCCGTTTTTTTTTTCAGGACTTAGTGGATCACAAGTAGACCTCGAACATAGAAGAGAAACATTTGGATCAAATTCAATTCCGCCAAAGCCACCAAAAACATTTGCGCAATTAGTATGGGAAGCTTTACAGGACATAACCCTTATTATTCTAGAAGTAGCAGCCATAGTGTCTTTGTTGCTTTCCTTTTATCAACCCCCTGCGGAAGAAACAGGTGAGCGATCGACAAAAATATTATTTTTCAAATTGTTAGTGACTTATATTTCGTCCTTGTGTTTTATTTTCATAAATATATGACACATCCCATTGAATACACCCTAGACTTCATCCTAGTCATGACCATTTCGATAAAATCACAAACCAATAGATAGTGCTGAAAAAAAGGAAAATTCTGAAGTGAAGATGATCAACGTACATTTCTCATATGGATCCGATGTAGATTATGTTATAAAATCAATATTTCAGGAAACTAAATCGTCAATCTGAGATATTTTTGATGACACATGTGTCATCAATTCATATTGTTTTCAAGTTTTCAAAATTCTTTTTACCACTGCCCCCACCTTATCAACTTGACTTGAGAATGAGGGATGATATGCAGGGTATAACATGAAGTTATAGTCATGTTGTAGCCATCTAGTGGCAAAGCTCTAAGGTAGGATCCAGAGATCGCGACACACACTGTATGGCGCTGCCATCTATAGTCACACGTACAGACCCTTACTTCTATACGCTACAGAGTGGTACTACAAGTAAACCACTCTGCTGACAGATGGCACTGCCTGACATACTTGAGTGGATTTTTCCACCACCTATTCAACAGGTTGATCTCAAATATGTTGGACTGAGTTGGTAACACATGAGATATTTTGAGGAATAAGTGGTAGTCAAAATTCTGGAGGGGCTTGATCATTTACATCCATTTCGGAAAACTTAGGAAAGAAAGTTTCATCAATCTCAACCTGAATTAATCTTATGTTCTTTTATGAATAGCACACACTTCTTTTCAAATAATGTTCTTTCATGTACATACATGACACTTCCTCCTCAATCGTTTTTGGGATTTCAACTGATGATTTGGCATCTTCACTAGTGTTTCTTTGCAGCAACACTCAAGTATTACCTACAATAAATGGGTCGTTCTGTAGGTAGGTTCATCTTAGATTCAGATTCATTTTTCACAAACACACGGACACACTTCTGTTCCTCAACTATTTCTGGGCTTTTATGTGATGAATTATTCTTCGCACCAGTGTTTCTGCGCACACCACTCAAGTATCACGATAAATAGATAAGTAATCACATATCTGATTGAAATGAATCCTTCTTTCTGCTTTCATTGACTTTTTCTGCTCTATTCTTTTTAGATTTTCATGTGATGACTGCGAATCCTTCAACCAAACTGTTTCTTTGCACACAACTCGCTTCTTCAAGTGTAGTTGAGGAATACTGCACAATAATGGCGATCTGGCTCTATTTTATGGATATTTTCATGGACGATGCTCTTCTGAAATACCAACAATTGTGCCTCCCTTGGCAGTCCCCGCGAGATTAACCCGTTGAGTTGAGGCTTCGCACCCCTTCGTGGTCACTTTGGAGACCTGGAGAACATCTCTTTCCAAAGACTCGTTCATCCAACGAACAGCGAGGCTCTGGAACACATTTGCCAAGGGAGGTGTCTCCCGAGGCATATAACCTCCAGAAATTTAAGAACATCACCCACTTTTTCGTGTGAACCAGAACATAAAAAAAAATAATTTGTTCAGAATCAAGATTTTGTTTGCATAATTGGCGAAGTCGTGGCTGGACTCGTGGCTGGTTTCACACTGATAACAAGATCAAGCCTGTGTTCTTTCAAAAGCATGTTTGCTTCTTGAGCAATCATGTGTTAAATTTAGAATCTTCATTGTGGCTCGTTGTAGCTATTACTGATGCCTCTTCCAGATTTTGGGTTTCCATTTGCAACAATCTCAGCTATAAGGTCCTTTCTCAATTTTCAGCAACTCAGCTGGGCTTTTAAACACAATTTTGTATCCCCAAAAGGAAATTTGTTTAACAAAACAATGTCCTTACACTAGAAAGAGTACAAAGAAAATTAAAAATACTTCCTGGATTCAATTTTCACTCGAGTTATAAGCACAAAATCTATCGAAAAAGAGTGGAAATCTGCTTGAAACAAGTATGAATTCTATGCTGAGTGCTGTCACTGCTAAATTGGTTTGTTGATCAGCTTCGGAAGTTCATCACCAGAGGCCGCACACTCTGTGATTTATTCGAATAAGTCACATCCATCAAAACAAACCGCTCAGAAGGGTTCAGATTATCACCGCCAGGTTAGTGGACGTGTTATTTTCAATCACGAATTACTCCACAATCTACAAACGTTAATCTAAATCGGCCAATCAGCTACTACCAGCATTTTTCAGGGGAGTGTGAATTGGTTTTTGAAGTGTTCATTTCTTTTTGCTCTAGACCTTTTCCAGTTGTTAAGCGTCAATTCTATGTCAGAAAGTGTCGATTATATTTCAAAATGTTCACTTCAGAATCGTTAGAAAATATCAGGTTGGTATCAGAAACGTCATTTTTTATTCAGAATTATCAAGATTTATTTCAAAGGAGAAAGCAGAGATGTAAGAGGCTTAGGGTTGCCCGAGGGGTTGCCTCATTTCATTGCAAAATCACTTCATATACATTCCCTTTGAAAATGCATATTGTGTTCAGTGCTCCCAAGAGCTTTGTGAACCCTATACTTATTCCTAGGTTCTATTTGATGAATAAAAAACAGAAGATTGTAATTGAAGACCACAGGGGAAGGGGAATATCACAAAATTAAGTTTCGAGAAAAACGCATTTCAAAGTTTGAAACCTTAATTTTTGGAAGTTGGAGGAAACTGAAATCAAACCACCTGGATTCATTTGATGGAGTATAATGAGCAATAAAGTTGAACAACTAGTAATAAAAATCATATTTGAATGAGAAAATCATCGAAAACAAAAATTAAGTCCAAAGATTCTAGGGAAAAATGAAGAATGTCCAAATAAATTGTCAAAAAAGATTATTGTTTACTCGCAAATATCTGCTCTGGTACATTTCTTCATTCTTGCCTGACTACCTAATAAGCGGTAAGTTGTCATATAGTACATCTAGCATCTCTATAATTTGATAATTTTTTATAATTTCCACGCGATATGAGTAGGAATCATCATTTAGCAATCTCATTATTTTATTCCCATCAATCAAACGTACTCGACAAGCCAAGTCAGCACACCCGTTTGTCGTCAACCTCGAAGTATGTCGAACAACTCTTTACCAATTACCAATGCCATTTTTTTGCCAAACATAGTATTCCCAAGAGCTCATAATCTCCAAAAGTTGAAGAAAATCACAATACCTCACAATACCTCCTCTCCCTATCCTCCCTAGGTACCCACAAAGTTCCCCGAACATTAAAGGGATTCCCTTTCGTACGCTCCAAGAGATGAAAAAAGGGTGGCCGTATCTCGTTTTTTCTCATCTTTTGTTTGCCTGTAGGTTCACTTTGACATTTTGACAGTGTGAAAACAACCTATTAAAAATCACAATGGAATATATATATTCAAGCTAGCACTAAGCTTGGACGTTTCCCTTTCTTCACATTTTTGAAGTGGACATTCCGCGTTTTTTCCATGTGAACGAATTTTCGAACGAGCATATTAGCTGACTTTGCTGCGTTATTGCTATGGACTTATGTTCATAGTAAAATATAGGGGTAAGGCTATCAAAGTCAATTTCCACTATATTGTGACATTCCCCCTTTATCCCCTGTGGTCTTCAATTATTGGAGCACTACTGATGAATTAGTGGTTGTGATTTATTCATAATTGTAATGATGCTCAAAAATTAAATTTTGTGATGATCAGTGGCTGGGATGAATTCTTGGGGCTTAGACAATTTCTGGTCTTCTGTATTTTTGAGGGTTCAATTTTTTTTTTTTTCTTTTTCAGTATTTGACGATGACGAAACGAGTCATGGGTGGATAGAAGGTCTAGCTATTTTAATTTCAGTTATAGTAGTAGTATTTGTAACAGCCTTTAATGATTATACGAAAGAAAGACAATTTAGAGGGTTACAGAATCGAATAGAAGGAGAACATAAATTTTCCGTGATTAGACAAGGAGAACTTAAACAAATCTCTGTCAGTGATATAGTTGTAGGTGATATTTGCCAAATCAAATATGGTGATCTTTTACCAGCTGACGGCGTTCTCATACAGTCAAATGACTTGAAAGTAAGTATACCTTAGTCTGTTTTTGCGAAAATTTAAACCACACTTGATAGTACCGTTTCAAAGTGGAATTTCCAATGTCACAAACAATTCAATTTGTTTGTCTGGGTATCCAGTCTTATGATGTTGTTTCGGGTACGAAATTATTGTTGGTTGTGTAGCAATTCCTCACGTAATGTTCAACAGTTCTTACTACTTACTAGCATGCAGGGTTTTTCAAAGTTGTTTTGACACAAGCCTAGGGGAGATTCTGCTCACCAAAATGTGGGAAAAAGTTCATATGAACATGGACCCGAAAATCTTTCTTTTTCAAAGATATATATTTTTATGGATAGTTCAACAAGCTTTAAATGATATTGCCTCACTACAGTCAAGTAGCTATTAGATATCTAATGGATAACTGATCAAGAAATTCTTGGGGCGTATCGAACGAGCAAGTAGGTTGTTTTTTGCATAAAAAGTATCTGCAGTTTTTTTGCGATTTTTAGTAATTATTCAAAAACCCCAGTGAACAAAAGTTTTGTATTCCCTAACTTCATTTTACTATTTCATATTAAAGGAAGAAATAAAATACCATACCTTGGCACGTCTATTTACTCCATGAGGAAAAATAATAATGATCACGCGCAGTATATTTATGTAGGAAATTGAAAAAAAAATCAAATAAAATGGTCTCTAATATATGCAAACGTACATCCGAATTTCAGAGTAGGTATCAGAAATGTTAAAATTGGCTGCCTGTTTATTATATGTTCATAAATAAATACACTGTGATATATAATTCTTTGGCATTTTTATCTTCAGCATGGAATGCAGAGGCATTTCGAGGTATGGTATTGTATATTATTCTCTAAAACGAACCATTACACTAAAAAAAGTCAAGAGACAAAAATATTGCTAGGTGGTATTTTTTTCTGTTGAAAACAATCGACTTGCTCGCTAGAAATTCGATATCAAACCTTAATCGTTCGAATACACCGTGAAAATTTCTTTGGCTAATTGCTCTTGGCTAATAATAAACAAAACTTTTTCGAAAAGAATTAACACCATGTATTTCGGAAACGTAGCATTTTCGGATCCACGTTCATAGAGTTTTTTTTTTTGCTGAGCGGAATCTCCCCAGACTTTAGCTATACAACTCTGAACAACCTTGTATTTCAAACTACGTTTAGGATTCGGGAATTTCAATCCTAATGAAACAACTTAACTACTATCCATTTTAATTCCTTTCTCAAGTTTCTATGATGGGATATCTTTGATTGATTGATTTTGTCCTGTAGGAAATTTTAATCTATGATAACTATAATAATCAGAGGTTATATATTCAAATTGCTCCGAAATAATTCGATGTCTTGTACAAGAATCCATTTTGATCCTATTTTCAAAAACGGAAATTGGCACATGGATAGTTGTATCATCTTGATGTATGAGATCAAAACCTTTTGACTTCACACAGCAGCAAGCGTTTTGATTCAAAATTTCCAGTGTGGTTGAGTTTCATCATTTGTCTCTTGGAGCAAATTGAAAATTGTTAATTTCGGTATAAAAAATACATAAACTACAAGATTACACTAATAGGAAATGACATGAATTTGAGCTAAGAATACTTTTGAATCTTGGCCAAAGATAATTCTCCACAGCTTACGTTACAACAAATATTTCAATGAATTGAAGCCAATTTCTGGTCCAGAATGACATAACATTTTCAATTTTTATATCTCGCTTGATCTAGATGTAAAATGATGTAGACTTTGACTGCCGTCTTATTCTCGATATTTTTGCTATGTTCATATTCCTTCCGCACAAACTATTAAACTTGTTTATAGAATCATATAATTTAAAACAGAGGATGTTTAGTCATGAACATTATGTTGTCTGAAGTCATCGCTGGAATGACAGGTTGACTAAATAACTCCCAAGTTTAAAAAAAAAAGATGTTTTATCAAGATAAGAACGATTTCGTTGATTGGTGTTTCCTTATATCCTAAATTGCCTAGAAGGTTTTCAAGGTCACCGAATTCGTTCTACTAGATTTCGAATTAAATTAAATTATTAACATCATTTAGTAGTTGTGGGGTATTTAGTATTTTTTTTAAATACCTTCTTACCTATAAAACCTATATACATATGATTCACAAATCCATTTACTAAAATACCATCTTGGTCAATTTTCAACGATGTAGGGGAGCAAAAAAGTGCTGTCTTCTAAAACTATATTTCGGAAACTGAGAAACTCATCTTCTGCAAAATTAGGCGGTAAAATATCGGTAAGTGGTGAAACAGTGTAGTGGGTCTTCTTTAAATATTTCTCAGTTCATTCAGTATGTACCGAAAGTATTCCATAAATGGGACACTACTTATATATTTATTTCAGATTTGCATTCTCAATTACAAGTTCAACCTTTCTAGAAGAAAAATATCAGTCTGCCACGCCTAACACCAGTTCAAACAGTGTGAAGATCTCTTCTTTTCGCAAATTTTGATGTTATTGAATCAACCATGTCTTTCCAGAAATAATTTTAGGAAACAATACCCATAATCAAATATCCTCTGTTTCAAAATGAAGGTCAGTGGGTGAATGGTCAAGCGTGCTCTGCTTTCAATTCATACGTAGGTCTGACAGATACCACCGATGACGTCGGGACAGGCGCAGTGGAATAGCGCCCGATTCACGACCGCGAGGTCGTGTGTTCAAATCCCAGTTTGAGCAAAGAACTTTTTCAATATCTAATTAACGAATTAAATGTTGTCAAGTTTCGGAGCATCGGCTGGGGATAGTCCTACGCGATTCGCTGTTACGTTCCAATTGATAGTGCTGCCCCTAAAGTAGCGCATGGAGTTAGTAACAAAGCCTACACAGAACACATAGGAAGAAATGATGATGGTGTAAGCATCAGAGGAGAAGTATGACGGTGTAAAAACTCTGAAAGAGAGCTGATGGACTGTACCTGCAAAGGTTGTTAGTCAGCTCTCTTAAGCGAATCACATCACCCATTACACACATTGGGGCTTGCAAAAAGATCCCATGAGGGAATAGTTGCTGACGTGCAAACATCCCCCACTACTACCAGTACCAGTACCACCGATGACACTTAGGCCTAGTGACGCATTGTATCTTACCTATAGTTATCTTCCTTGTACCCACTCCAGTGTCTCTGTACCTTGTACATCCTTTACTGGATGTGACTTGAATACTTCTGGTTCTCCAACTAGTTGCCAATCTGTTTCCTTTTTCTCATAGCTCTTATGTTTTGCATGAATCCAGTCCCTAACAGACGCTCATGCTGTATCTTTTGGTACTCCTAGAATATTACCTGGATCTGGCTCGTTGTCCGACCCTCTTCTTGGTAGTTCGTCAGCCTCCACGTTGCCAGCGACTACGAATAAAGAGAACTAAGGAACTGTTCGATTACTTTGGAAATGAAGCCATAATCAAGGCACCAAACAGAATACGTAGTCCGTACTCATACTGACCACTGCGTCTGTACGCTTGAAAAGCGGAGACGTACTACTCCTGCTCCTGACCCTTTCGCAATCTTTAACCCGTCTGTATACCAGATTTTTCCTTGCATACAGACCGGTCGCACTGCTATCTATTATTTCAAAGATCATGGAGAAAGCTATCAACATCGAGCTCATGAAATACCTGGAACATTCAGGTATTATCAACGATATGCAATATGGCTTCCGTCATCAGAGATCAACTGGTGACCTGCTCGCTTACGTCTCACATTTATGGCAGCAATCTATTGAAAAATATAATGAAACCTTAGCCGTGGCACTTGATATCTCCAAGGCATTCGATCGAGTCTGGCACCACGGACTCCTCGCCAAGCTTTCATCTTATGGCTTGCCTCCCCAGCTGTTCTCTGGTAGCTTAGTTTTCTCTCAAACAGGTCTCTCCATGTAGTGATGGACGGAGTTTCATCTGACTCTCTTTTCATAAGTGCTGGTGTTCCGCAAGAATCAATTCTAGCACCAACACTATTTCTACTCTATATCAACGATTTGTTGGAAGCAACTTCATGTCCAGTACACAGCTTCACGGATGATAATACCCTCCATACCGCCTTCTCTTCCAGGGCTCCAATACCAGCCAGGCAAATCAGAAACGAACTATAGAAATGATGACAACATAAATATGGACTTGGCAACAATTCTCGAATGGGGATTCAATGATAGATTTCAATGCAAACAAAACACAAGCATGCCTTTTCTCTAGAAAAGCTGATCTCACTGTGCCCAACATAAGCTTGTCAGGAGTAACGATACCTTTGAATACATCCATTTCGGTGCTTGGTATTACTATCAGCAATAACCTTTCTTGGGAAAATCACGTGAGATCAATTGCTAAAAGTGCACCCCAAAAACTTGGTTTTCTGTTTCGGGCCAGGAGCTATTTCACTTCCAGTCAGCTGCTTATGATCTATAAGGCACAGATCCGACCTGTCCTGGAATACTGGTTCCATATTTGGAGTGCAGCAGCCAAACATACCCTGAAACTGTTGAATTCTGTCCAAAAAAGGGCAATTCGTCTCGTGAGTGATGCTTCGCTCACGAACTCACTCACTTCTCTGGAACACCGTAGAAAAGTTGGCTCTATTTCATAGATATTTTCATGGACGATGCTCTTCTGAAATATCAACAATTGTTCCTCCCGTGGCAGTCTCCGCGAGATTAACCCGTCGAGTTGAGGCTTCGCAACCCTTCGTGGTCACTTTGGAGACCTGCAGAACATCTCTTTCCAAAGACTCGTTTATCCAACGAACAGCGAGGCTGTGGAACACATTGCCAAGAGAGGTGTTCTCCGAGGCATATAACCTCCAGAAATTGAAGAACACCAACTCCTACCTCATTTCTCTTGGTTCTCACGATGTTCTCTGAACATTACAGGATATCCCTTTTCGTGGGAACCAGAACAGAACAAAAAAAAAATCGTGAACCGATTGTTACCTGGACTAGTGCAGCTAATGAGGACTAGGATTGGCAAGATGAATCGACTCAAGAAAATCTAATAAAATCTCTCTCTTCATGTTCATTTGGTCCACTTTCTATGAAAAAATTGGCCAGATCATCATAAAGTGTATCTATTATTTTTCCTATTATTCATAAATCACAATTAGGTGAGTCTGAGGCTTATGCTTGGAGTCTTGAGATTATAGGATATTTAAATCTTGATCACCCTATATAGGTGAAAAATTACTAATCGACTAAACATTTCTCTCTCTCACACACACACACATACACACCCTCTCACTCTCACACATTCGAGGAAAATAATATATTTACACAGCGATCAGCAATCGTCCTACAGTATATCTGATATATTTTTCTTGAAATTGAGAATATCGTGAATCTCAAAGGCAAATACGTAATTAAAAATATGGGATTTAGTTATAATCCAAATTGGGGACGTGATTTCAAGCATGAATGCCAGATTATTTTCGTAATTTCCAACTCCTGAAATATTATTTTCACGCGTAGGTGTAAGAAATGCCTTTAGAAATCCGCCCTTATTGGAATATAAAATTATATTGACAGCTCCGGCGAAATTGAGAAGGAAATATTCTCGACGGAATTGAAATGTAATCAATTTTTTTCATCAATAATTCAAACATTCAGAAAGTTTTGGGTAGATGTTTCATGGAATATTTCAACTGATAAACTTTTTAATAGGACAGCGGAAGGATAACTGACTGACTGGCTATTTTAGATACGAAATCGGATAAAATTCAGCAAACTTCATGGTGATTGATAATTTGTAATGAAAAAAAAACTGTATTTTTTAGGCAGTCCAAAACTAGTCTAATAGATTCTGAATTGATTTATCTCCCCATGATTTCATGAACACTTGATTCTATTGCTGCTTTAAATTCCTTGGTGTATTAGTGCCCTAGTAAGACTTATCGTATTTTGGGTTAACACAATGGATTCTACCGCCAGTTGCTTCGGAATGTTTTTTTTTTATAATCTTTGATTGTACAAATTACTATCACGAAAAACTCTCCATATTAAATTTTGGAAGATCATAGACATTAGAATCATTCATGTGATATTCCCAACATAGAAGGTATGAAATTCTATGTCCGATATTGTGTCCGTTTCAAAATATTTGCCAATGTTCACATAGTTCAAGGAATACCAAACTCGCTTTACTTCTAAGCCACTACAACCCAGAATTTTTTTTCAAAGTGTGGTTTAGATACACTAGGTTTATATGCACAGGCTGTTTCTTCATATTTTGCCCCCTATATATAGGGTGAATTGAAAGAGTTAGAAATACCTTTGAATTAACTAGTTTCAAGGTCATTTCCGAAATATCTTTTCGTAGCGTAAAAACGAATAAATGAGCATCAGAAATTGACAAAAGAAAATACTGTGAGATCCTTTATATTCTACATTTTTCTCACCCATATTCCGATATGAACTTTGATAGGTCTATCTATTTTACTTTTTGAAAATGGTTGATTTCAAGGCATGTTGCTGACGGAAGTGCAAAGTTCCTTCATTACCGTTATTGTGGTTCCACTTTTGTTGGTATTTCATTATAATGACATAATGTAAGCCTATGCAGTTAGTTTTCTTTTTCAAGGTCGAATATGTCAAGAAGCTGTTAGGAGACCCCAATGTTGGAGTGATCTGCTTGAAAGAAAACTCAATTGAAGAAGTCCTTGGTGGCAAATACGGTCGAATGCTTTTGATATATCTAACGCCACAGCTAAAGATTCCCCATGTTTTTGATATGAAGTTTGCCATATATGGCTAATGAAGGCACGTAAATCTCCTTTTTTATCATTTATGATTCCTGAACTTTCCAGATGTTTGGATGTCAAGCTCAATATTGTTGACTGTCTCGATCAGTTCGGAAATAACTGTATAGGCCTAAAGTTCCGATGCTCATTTATTTGTTTTGGCACCCCAAAAAAATAGTTCACAAAAACCTTGAAAACTTTGCATCCATTCTAACTCTCAATAAACCATATACGGGGTCATCAAATTATGAAAAGACATCAAATTCTCTATCTATCTCAAATGCCACGAAAGCTTAGAAGGGTGACAACTATAATAACTTTAATTACGAACGGATTTCCGACACAGGGGGCCTATTCTCGAATGTCGAACGAAATATGTCGATAGAAATTGTCGCACAACGTTTAAGTGTGGTATTCTCGATTGCTTTCGACTTCAAACTCGCATGAAACAAATTTTGTCGAATAGCATGAACTGGCAACATCGAATTAACGATTCTCGAATGTGTTCTGTGCCAATGTGGTGTGGTTTCTTTGTTGTTATCATGGAGGGTATGTCAATGTTATGTTGAAATAATAATGGCAGTGGAAAGAAAAAAAGTTTTTGTGCTTCATCTCAAAAGGAAACACTCAACTCGATGAAGGAAAAATTTATCTGGCAAAATACATGCAGAAGACCCATGTCCCTGTACCAAAAATGGTTCTAGCACTCATTAGCAGTATAATGGACTCTCACTAATTCCTTACCTGAATGTTTTTATATATTTTATGTCCGATAAAAATCTGAACGCATTCTCATTACGTTTCCTCATGGCCGTTGATGATTTTCTTGATTTTCCAAATATTCAATTTCTATTAATGAAGCTGCCATTCGACATCAAAATGTCGACTGGTTAAGACCACTCTACAATATTTGTCTATCGAAAATTTTCGAATGCGTCATTCGAGAATGAGCACTCACGTGTTTTGGTTCGACAATGTAGAAATCTCGCATGCGACAAAATATCTCATCATTTGAGAATAGGGTCCCAGGATCTCGGAATTCCTACTTGATCTTCCGAATCAGATCTTGGAATTCCGACTCAAATCTCGTAATTCCGACTTGAATCTCGGAATTCCGACTACGATCTCGGAATCCCGAGTGAGATATGTCGGTATTTCAATAAGTGATCAGATCTCGGTATTCCGACTTCGATCTCGAAATTCCGATTGAGATCTTGGAATTCCGACTCAGGATCTCGAAATTTCGGCTCAGAACTCGGAATCCCGAGTTAGATGTCGGGATTTCGAGTGATATCTAACCGTTCGAAATGGAAATGATTATATCCGCGCCCCTTCTACGCCTCCGTGAAATGTGGACCAAGGTCCATTCACGAATTGCGAACGTTCACACGCCAACTCACCTTCCAGATAGACGAGTCGTCTTTGACAGGTGAGTCCGACCACGTGAAGAAGGGCGAGCTGTTCGACCCGATGGTGCTGTCCGGCACTCACGTGATGGAGGGCTCCGGCAAAATGCTCGTCGCGGCCGTCGGCGTCAACTCGCAGGCCGGCATCATCTTCACCCTGCTGGGCGCCGCGGTCGACCAGCAGGAGCAGGAGATCAAGAAGATGAAGAAAGGTACGTTGGAGGGTAGCTCGGTCGCATGGACAGTGATTGGTAACCCCGGCCCGATTCCCCAGGCTATACTTTACAGACTTACAGTACGTGGGGATTCTAAGGGCGTTCTTCAGTAAAACATTATCTTCAATCTGAGTCTTTCTGTAGGTGCGTTCGGTTATAACATATATGTTAGCTCGATTCCATCTGTTAGCTCGGAAAGCGTTCGATAAATCAGATCTACTTCCTCTGTCTAATCTGCTCCGTGTTCGTTAATTTTCAGAGCGAGCTGAAAGATATAATCTGTTTGCTCCGCATTGAGGAGCAGATCATTCGGTCATTGATCGGTTATTCGGTTGTCAGTTGTCAACAAATCAATGTCAACAACATGTTATTGAAATTATATACAGGGTGTTAACAAATAAGTGTCACAACGGAAAACTGTAGATTCCTCATAATAAAAGAAACATTTCGTTCCTCTTCAAAATTTTTCTCCGGGCTTCCGTTTTCAAGATACAGGGCGTAAAAAAATTAAAAACGGTCAGTTTAATTAAACACACTTTACAACACTAAATAAACTTGACAATTTGAAAACCAGCATCGAGACCAGCATACTCAAGAACCTGACATTTGATTGAAGATATTATTAGACAGATCTGAGGTGTTTATTTCCAGTGGATTTTTAGACAATTTTTGGAGATATCATCAGGATTTTGTTCTTATTCCTAAAGAGCCATTTTTCGCGGGAACTGTTCCCTTTAGAGCATTGAGATGAGAGGACGTTTTTTGTGTGAAAGATATTCACGCTTCAGAATCTACTTTGAAAATTACAATTTCTCCAGTGGCATAAATGTTTGGAGGGTTAAACCCTTACGAGGCGTTGAATTCTCCTCCACTGACATGTCCAAGGAAATTGATCAAGAGCCCTAAAAGTAGTCATTATTAATGATGAAGTGTGTACGAAGTCTTAACTCCATAGCTCCGACGGTTCCTGAGATAGTAGCAAAAAACAGATGTTCTTGTATTTTTTTGACGCCCTGTATCTTGATAACGGAAGCCCGGAAAAAAATTTCGATAGGGAAAAAAATATTTCTTGTTTCATGAGCAATCTACAGTTTCCCGTTGTGACACTTATTTGTTAACAACCTGTATATATCTTTTGTGTCGAAAAATTAAAGACTTGATCAACTGGAAACGAAACACGAAACTGAATCGCCAGAATGACCGACGAATAGTGTGTAACGCCTGTTTCTAATCTGATATGGAATTCGGATATTTTCAAAATATAAATTCAAGTAAACAACAAACGTTCAAAAGAACTTTGTTGCCCTGACGTGTTTTGAAAAGTAATAAGGTTAAGTGAATTGTTTCTGTTTTCTATTTCTTCTGACAGGTGGCGCTCGCAATCTACTACCTCGTTAAGCGTTCGTTAAATATCTTTAAGCTCTATCAGCTGGGTGATCACGTGACTTCAAATCTGCATCTGCTCGCTCGGCTCCGATTTTGTTAAACCGAACGCATCTTTGTGTAGGTAATGGGTCTGAGGAAAATTTTACTTCTCGACTCTACCATTAAAACGTTATCCCATGGAGACGCAACACCACGTTCATAGAACGGCTTGTTTAGGACCAACCCCTGGTATGGGGATTTTACCGAGAAGTGGACTGTATAAACGTGTTTATTCGTTACGAGTAAAAATCAGTATGCCTCTTGTCTTTACAAGACTTCAACTTCAAGTCCTTTGCATGGACAACGCGAACTAGGGTATCAATAGAGTCCTGGGAGAAACCCTTGATTCCATCAACTTTGGATTGATTTTATGGTTCATCGAATAAATGTGAAACTGAGTCAATTGACCTTGAATTTTGTGTACACTAGAACTTCAATCCGGTTCGTTTAGACCAGTTCGAGTAATTCCGTGAGGTTGGCGAGGACTACCTAACCAACTTCTTCGTTAACGAGGTATGCTCACACATATGCCGTCCCTAACAGTGCCGGATTGAGCCAGCGCGGGGCCTGTAGCAAATTCTATCAAGGGGTCCTTGGTTTGCTTCAGGTTATCAAGTTTAGAGTATTGAATAATATGAAACGAAACTATTACAAATAAACTTCTATGGATATACCTATATGGGCAAATTTAGAGATAATACTTTCAATATCGACTTCTTCAAGCAAATCATGCTCTATATTTACCAAAGTGAGATGATTGAGACGTTCTTGGCCCATCGTGTTCCTTAACTCATTTTTAATACGGTTTAATACTAAAATAAAAAACGTTCGCCACTACAGTTAGCGATCATGAGATACACGTAAATTCGTAAGGCAATTTCTATGTTTGGGAAACATGATTCTAAAGAATTATTCAATGAAAGTTTATAAAATTATAGTTCCAGAGGCTCCTGTTTGGTGCTCTGAGTGACAGTACCCACATTCGTTTTGAGCAGCTCAACGATCAATGTTTTTTACTGTAAGACAGACCGGACAAGGCCGGACAGGCGTTAGAGCGCGGGGCCCCCTGATTCGCCGGGCCCGTAGCATTTGCTACTCTTGCTACGTAGCTAATCCGGCACTGGTCACTAATGAAAAGAGATAACAAATTCATTTCTTTCATTATCAACATACCGTATGTCGGAACAATATTTTAATATGAGCTGGATCTTTACTTTGTAGATCATAGGAAGCTGTTGAGGGATACAGTAGCTTTTTGCACGGACATGTTTTAATCTGATTTGTTTATTATTTCAATTAACCTACAGGCATTATTGAGAAAACATAAATTTGATACTTTGGGTTGATCAGATCCAGAAATATCGGGAGACAATTCTGGACAACCGTGTTCAACAGTTCATTGATATAGAGTTGCTAACATGAATTTTAGTGGGACACTGCAGGATGCAGTCATTCCGAGTGCGAATCATCTGTGACTTTTTTTTTTTCAAACGGATAGATTCTCATTAGATAATATTTGTAAATTCAGTGAACTAACCGGAGCAACAAACACAACAAAAAATCGAACCCAACGAATTAATAGCATTACTCACTGGTGATGAGAATTATTTATTTTTATACAGCTAGCGAGACGAATATTTGGCAGCTTAGTTCGAATAGTTCAAAATCGGATCTGGTTGTATGAAAACTGATAGATGGTCGATAAAAACTTGATAGATGGCCGATAAAAACTAGCTCCTAATGAAGCGTTGCCAACAAATGCTGGACATGCGAAACACATTGCATTTTCATACATGTTTTAATATTGTGGAAATCTAATAGTTCACTGAGATTCAATTCAAAAATCAATTATCAATATAGAAGCACGTGATCAAGCTGATTATTTTTTTTATCTCATCAATCTTGATATTCTTATGTGTTTTCTGTCACAGCTATAGAGGCCTAACGCTACCAAACCCTCAATGATAATGTAATAATGTCAACGCTGTTTCAGACTACCTGTTTGCTTTTTCTTTTCGTCTTCATTGATTTTTCTTTTTCAAAATCGGTTTCAAGTATTCTCATACTCTGAAAATCTGGTAGGCTTTTTGCAACAATCTAGATTCAATGTCAGCAAATCTCATCATCATCATCATATCATGAATAAGGGTGGAAGGCCACAGGTATCTGGTGTATTTTAAAACAATATCAGAAATGGATTTGATTGCTTATTGACATCACTTTCATCTAGCCAGCAACCAGAATTAGCATGTACTTTTGGTATCAGTCATCCTATGATATAAACATAGATTGATGAGGGACATTTTACACTCAATGTGTCCGCTAATTTTGAGTGACATGTCTGTTTATGTTGCGATTGAAATGATCTGAAAATCCGACTCCCTGTGTATGAAGGCACTGCCCAATATTCAAACTGTCGGCTTCTGTCCATTAGCACGCAATCCCTATTACTAGGTATCATAACACTGAACGTATTCCCGGTGTTTTTATCTTACAAGTAGTCAGGTATTATTTTACTGAAGAATGTCCCTTGATTTCAATCGGAGACACACGAAATACTCGCATTGAAATTCTTTAGTGTACTCATTCTTGTTAGTTGCACACCCTATCCATGTGCGTGTATCTGTATGTGATAATATCTTCTCCAAATCTCCATCAGGGTGGGCCAAGTAAAATTTTCCACCTCTTTTGTCTGGCAACCAATCCAATTCTGCGAAAATATAGAGAGCCATCGATTTTATTTATGAAAGAAGGCCGACACATAACTGATGAGTTCAACTTTGCTGTTAATTTCCTTCGCTGAGGTCATTACACCTTTTAATCGATAATATAGGTAGAGTGCCATCGCACTTCAATTATTCTTATACATAATAATCTGCCATTCAATGTTATTACCCTTGTAGAGGGGAAGGAAAATAATAATGAAGGTTCAGTCATGTGTGTCTTGGGAAAATATTTGTTCGGGTATTTATTGAACAGTTGATTGTGAGATAATTGGAGCGAATTTTTTTCTTGTTCCACCTTGTATAAGTTCGAACCGTCTACTTTGGGTATGTCAATATACATTATTCTATCAATCAAGATTTCTTTGGATCCAGCAGCATTGCTGATATGAGTTTCTGATGTACATAATTGAAGAAAGTGAAATATGCGTTTCCTATTTCTTTGTCTATGGAATAATGTGTATTTGTAGAGAAATGATTGCCATTTACCGTATCTGGCAGTTTTGTGGATAAATTAGATTTTCAAATATTTCAAGTATTCATTGGTGACCTCACCCTATCGATGAACAATTACGTAATTATTTAATTTTTCAACAAAACACCATGTGTAGTATTTAGTGTATAATCAATATTAACTTAAGAATTAATCTATTCGGTTTTTCGTTTGAGTTTCCCCCTCCGACTTATTTTCTCAGTATACACTCATCTACACGAGTTTGTGAACTATCAAATCAACTAGTACAGTGTGGACTCGATATCAACATTCTTATAATAATATTCCTGAAATATGAGTATTCTGTCCCAACTCACTAAAAAAAAAAAGTATATTGTAGGATTATACATTTTCTT